CACTCTTTCGACTAAGAGAGCTCAATTTTGGAAATAGCCACGTGTTTACTCAAGGAAAATGAAGAGGTGTCTTTCTTCACATACAGGACAAAATGGTTCTCTGCTCATACCCTAGGAAGATGTCTGCTGTAAGAAGAGTAAGCCACAGGTATATACAGCGTCAAATCATGTCTCACTTCCTGTAATAGCTATTTAAGTTTAATTTTAGACAGCACAATTCTAGTGTGATAAGCCCTAAACATGATTTTCATGGAATATTTCAAGATATAATGAATGTCCAAAGTTTTTTGGGCATATATATAAACCATTAATTAATATTTTCAGGATTAGAAAAAGTAATGTTTCTGAAGTCCACATTCAATTTTAATATGTGCTTCTCCAAGCTGAATGTCATTAATATGGTGTATTTTAGTTTAGAATAGATTCTGTTATTGAAAGAATCACTAAATGCTCAGATTTATTGATTCTCAAATTTATCTTACAGTCCCCCAAAAAAACTTCATATTCAAGCTGCTAAAGCAAATCATTTTAAAGTGGATGAACCGGCAAGTAAGTGTAAAAACAGATGTATGCATATGCATAAACTGTATATTAGAGGTAGTTAAATCAAAGAAAATTAATTTCAAATGTGTCATTTTGAAATTATCAAACTTCTAATAATTATTTATAGACCAAAACTTAGAAGGCACAAGAACAAAAATAAGAAAAGAAGAAGGTATTGAGATAAGAGAAGACAAGGTCACCTAAATATACTTTTAAAACATAAAGTCCTCAACATGGGGATCAAGATAGCAAATATGTACAGACATTGAAGAAATGGTTCAATTAATGAGATTGAAGAGAAGTAGTAAAAGAAGGAGTTACATACAAATTAACAACTATAGGTCAATAACCTGTAAGAGCTCAAGGAATGTTAATGATGTATGACTCCCAAAGTACTGCTAGAATATTAATGCAGTTGATTCTGAAAGGGCAGTATATTACATTCATCATGCAATTTGTAGCAGAGTAAAAACTGTTAACAGTATTTTGGTTTGGAAAATCTATTTAATGAAAAAAGTAGTGGAAATTAAGCAAAATAACATGACATATATCAACTATGATTCAATGTGCTGTTTATCACAATAAGGACAATGGAATGCTTATCATCTTTATATGAAAATGAAACAAATATCATTCATAAATGAAATTGTGGTCATTATCCTTACTAATGTGTGCTTAATTCTCATTGTTCCCGTCACAAAGAACATCACAGAGGAGCAAGTGTAGATTGCAGTGAAATAATGTATACTTTTCCACAAAAAGTCAACTGAAAAGTCAAACTCTTTAGATGAGAAAGGTAAAAACTGAGCAAGAATAATTTTTTAAAAATGGATGAGCTAAGCATGTATTCCAAATTATAGTGTACTCTAGCATTTTGAAAAGTTTACACAGCATTGGAATATGAAGGTGAAGTATACACAAGAGGTAATAAACTCATTACTAACGAGGTAGTACTGACTTAAAATAGAAATGGGATCAAAGAAGGTCTTTGTAGAAAATAGATTTGTGGAAAATTATATGTAATGTATTGCTAAGGGAATATAATGGATGTTCAAGGTAGATCAATGTCGTAGAGAGCAAATATCATGCTTTTCCATAAACTACCATGCTCTGTGGACAATTGATTTAATCTAGTGTGACATTTCTTACATACTTATATTTAATTCATGGGTTCAGCAAGATAATTCAAGCCCCAGTGAGAATTTTCAGTTTATTTATCCAATTTGGCTATCGAAATTGCTTAAATCAAGAGGAAAAATGCCATATCTCTATTGGACTTTATACTCTGAAACAAATGCAATAAAAGTTATCAGATAAAACCCCTTCCTTTCAGAAATTCAAAAATTTTTTATAAAATTTAGCCAATTAATAAAGTAAGGAAAATATTTTAACAGATAAGAACTAAAAGAAGCTAAAATTACTATATATCCAATCATCTTATAAGTTCAATTAATTAGACTATGGCTATACATAGAAGTATACATAAAGATAGCCTCAAAAGCATCAGCTTCCATAAGCAATTAGAAATTACCAATGGCACCATGGATTAATGAACATACTTTGGGCCACATATTGTTCTTCTACAACTATTCAAATGTTGATTTTTTTTTTCAGTATCAAAATAAAATTGAGGAGAACAAGGTAACACAATTATTCGGAAAACAGAGTAAGGGCCACAATTGTTATCTATTTTATTCCCTGCCATATCCCTAGTGCCTACAACAACATCTGCTTCATGGTAGATACACTATCAAATATTTGAAATTTGAACACTTTCAAGTATTTGTTTAATAAATGAGTGGATATATCCTTCCGGAATACTAAAATTATCATCTTGTTTTAGCATCTTTCTCTAAGAAGATCAAAGTAAGGCTACAGTATTTTTTCATTTAATCTTCATATGTCATAAGAAATGTAATTATTTTTGTAACTATTTCTCAAGTGCAAATAACTACCTTAATTAGTGTTAAGCAATTTGGAACCATATTTACACTGCACATTTTATTACATTTGAAGTAATGAAATGTATTTCAAATGTGATGAAACCATTCTGATTATTATGTTGCATATGTTAACCTACAGCAAATGAAATGTAGAAATTTTATAGAGATAAAAAGAAAGTAATAAATAAATGAGAGCTAACATTTGTCTAATGTTGTGGCTATATGATTTGAAAATAAGCACTGAACATATTCTTAGAAACATTATATGAGATGAGTAAAATAAACATATTATCATAGTCTTAAATACAGAAAATTGAGCCACCAAGAATCTGCTTCTTAACTGAACTTTGAAAACAAATTTGGGGAGGGTGCAAGTGGCATGGTGGTTAAGGGCACTGGACTCCCACATGTCTGACTAAGGCTCAAATCCCAGACCTGGTGGCTTGCTCTCTCTCTTTCTCTTTCTCTCTCTCTCTCTCTCTCTCTCTCTCTCTCTCTTTTTCTCTCACTCTTTTCTGCTCTAGTCAAATTAAAATTAATAAATTAATTAATATAATTCTTACCCCAAAAAAAAGAAAGAAAACAAATTGGGGTCAGTGCCACAACACACTGCTTTTATTCCAAATTCTTAAATTATATATAATAAAACCATCCATATGAGCCAAGCTAAATGTTACTTATTGTCATTTTTTTAAGCTTTGAGCAGATGCTCTCATCTCAGAAAATGCTTCAGTAATAAGGAAAATGAATTTGAATTCTTTCCTTTGGGCCTTTCCTCTGTTGAGGGCACAAACATTACAGGTGATTGTTCTATTTGCTTAAAATAGACATCTTTTATAACAGTTCTAATAAAGGCAGTAACCTACTTGCACAGTCTGACAGCCAACTTTTAACAATTAAGCAAGAAAAGTATCTAAATTTTCAGATCTAATAAAAGCCTTCATTAGAAAAGGCTTATCTTACTACAGCTTCACCTACACAACAAATTAAATTACTATTCATGTTTAAACAGGAAGATATTGTGTTCCTATCTCACTGTAACTAAAAATCCACAACATGGTTATTCATCCAGGACACCACCAAAATATTGATCTAACTAACACAGCCTTTATCCTTTAATTGCAAGGCTCCAGATATACCACAGATTCCAGTTGCAAAAGGAATGCCTAAATTCCTTAACCTGATACCCAAAGTCCTCTGATTGGGAAAGGAGTTCACAGAAACAAAACATGGCAGCCATTCATACCCTTCGTTTTCCTAAGGTGGGAAAACTCAAGGGCTGGGAGTAGATCTGAGAAAGAGAACTCTGACTAAAATATGCCCAAAAGGTTGTCAGATTCGTGAAGGCATATTTTTGAAAGGTTCCTAGGAAATATGATGTGACCGTCAATTGAAAGACACTGACCTGGTGGCTTGCTCTCTCACTCTCCCTCTCTCTCTCTCTC